CCATTGTGTACCTCTGTAATGTTGAGAAACAGTTTTTGGACCCATTGTGGACCTCTATAATGTTGAGGCATAGTCCCTGGATCCATTATGTACCTCTGTAATCTTGAGGTACAGTCCCTGGATCCATTATATGCATCTGTAATGTTGAGGTACAGTCCCTGGATCCATTATCTACCTCTGTAATGTTGAGGTACAGTCCCTGGATCCATTATCTACCTCCTTAATGTTGAGGTACAGTCCCTGGACCCATTATCTACCTCTGTAATGTTGAGGTACAGTCCCTTGACCAATTATGTACCTGTAATATTTTGACTACCACCCACACCATGGGTATATGGCTACTACCACCCACACCATGGGTATATGGCTACTACCACCCACACCATGGGTATATGGCTACTACCACCCACACCATGGGTATATGGCTACTACCACCACACCATAGGTATATGGCTACTACCACCCACACCATGGGTATATGGCTACTACCACCCACACCATGGGTATATGGCTACTACCACCCACACCATGGGTATATGGCTACTACCACCCACACCATGGCTATACGGCTACTACCACCCACACCATGGGTATATGGCTACTACCACCAACACCATGGGTATACGGCTACTACCACCCACACCATGAGTATATGGCTACTACCACCCACACCATTTGTATACGTCTACTACCACCCACACCATGGGTATACGGCTACTACCACCCACACCATGGGTATACGGCTAAAACTACCCACACCATGGGTATATGGCTACTACCACCCACACCATGGGTATGTGGCTACTACCACCCACACCATGGGTATATTGCTACTACCACCCACACCATGGGTATGTGGTTACTACCACTCACATCATGGGTATGTGGTTACTACCACCCACACCATGGGTAAGTGGTTACTACCACCCACACCATGGGTATGTGGTTACTACCACCCACACCATGGGTATGTGGTTACTACCACCCACACCATGGGTATGTGGTTACTACCACCCACACCATGGGTATGTGGCTACAACCACCCACACCATGGGTTTGTGGCTACTACCACCCACACCATGGATATGTGGTTCTACCACCCACACCATGGGTATGTGGCTACTACCACCCACACCATGGGTAAGTGGTTACTACCACCCACACCATGGGTATGTGGTTACTACCACCCACACCATGGGTATGTGGTTACTACCACCCACACCATGGGTATGTGGTTACTACCACCCACACCATGGGTATGTGGCTACAACCACCCACACCATGGGTTTGTGGCTACTACCACCCACACCATGGATATGTGGTTCTACCACCCACACCATGGGTATGTGGCTACTACCACCCACACCATGGGTATGTGAATAAAACCATCCACACCATGGGTATGTGGCTACTACCACGCACACCATGGGTATGTGGCTATTACCACCCACACCATGGGTATGTGACTACTACCACCCACACCAAAGGAATGTGGCTACTACCACCCACACCATGGCTATATGGCTATTATCACCCACACCATGGGTATATGGCTACTACCACCCACACCATGGGTATGTGGCTACTACCACTCATACCATGGGAATATGGTACTAAGACCCACACCATGGGTATATGCGACTACCACCCACACAATAGGTATGTGGCTACTAACACCCACAAGATGGGCGTGGCCCAGCGGCAAACGCGACGGTCTAGTTTAGAGACTGATCGCGGGTTCTAACCCCGCCCGTGGTATGGATTGTTTGCAATCGTGTCATTACGATCTCGTGAGACAGGATGGTAATACCTCCCTGGACGGTTCCTATCTACCAACCTACTACCACAGGATGGTAGTACCTCCCTGGGTGGTTGTTTTCTACCAACCTACTACCACAGGATGGTAGCACCTCCCAGGGCGGTTGTTTACCAACTACTACCAAAGGACGGTACTACCTCCCTGGGTGGTTGTTGTCTACTAACCTACTACCACAGAACGGTAGTACCTCCCTCGGCGGTTGCTGTCTACCAACCTACTACCACAGAACGGTAGTACCTCCCTCGGCGGTTGCTGTCTACCAACCTACTACCACAGAACGGTAGTACCTCCCACGGCGGTTGCTGTCTACCAACCTACTACCACAGGATGGTAGTACCTCCCTGGGTGGTTGTTGTCTACCAACTTACTACCACAGGACGGTAGAAACCTCCCTGCGCGGTGTTGTCTCCAATCTACTCCACAGGAGGGTATTACCTCCCTGGTGGTTGTTGTCTACCAACTTACTACCACAGGTGGTACTACCTCTCTGGGTGGTTGTTGTCTACCAATCTACTACCACAGGATGGTAGTACCTCCCTGGGTGGTTGTTGTCTACCAACTTACTACCACAGGATGGTACTACCTCCCTGGGTGGTTGTTGTCTACCAACTTACTACCACAGGACGGTACCTCCCTGGGCCGTTGTTGTCTACCAACCTACTACCACAGGATGGTAGTACCTCCCAGGGTGGTTGTTGTCTATCAACTTACTACCACAGGACGTTAGTACCTCCCTGGGTGGTTGTTGTCTATCAACTTACTACCACAGGATGGTAGTACCTCCCTGGGTGGTTGTTGTCTACCAACTTACTACCACAGGACGGTAGTACTTCCCTGTGTGGTTGTTGTCTATCAACTTACTTCCACAGGATGGTAGTACCTCCCTGGGTGGTTGTTGTCTACCAACTTACTACCACAGGACGGTAGTACTTCCCTGGGTGGTTGTTGTCTACCAACCTACTACCACAGGACGGTAGTACTTCCCTGGGTGGTTGTTGTCTACCAACCTACTACCACAGGACGGTAGTACTTCCCTGGGTGGTTGTTGTCTATCAACTTACTACCACAGGATGGTAGTACCTCCCTGGGTGGTTGTTGTCTATCAACTTACTACCACAGGACGATAGTACCGCCCTGGGTGGTTGCCTACCAACTTACTACCACAGGATGGTAGTACCTCCCTGGGTGGTTGTTGTTTACCAACCTACTACCACAGGATGGCAGTACCTCCCTGAGTGGTTGTTGTCTACGAACTTACTACCACAGGATGGTAGTACCTCACTGGGTGGTTGTTGTCTACCAAATTACTACCACAGGATGGTAGTACCTCCCTGCGTGGTTGTTGTCTACCAACTTACTACCACAGGACGGTAGTACATCCCTGGGTGGTTGTCTACCAACTTACTACCACAGGATGCTAGTACCTCCCTGGGTGGTTGTTGTCTACCATTTTACTACCACAGGACGGTAGTATCTCCCTTCGTGTTTGTTGTCTACCAACTTACTACCACAGGACGGTAGTACCTCCCTGGGTGGTTGTCTACCAACTTACTACCACAGGATGGTAGTACCTCCATGGGTGGTTGTCGTCTACCATTTTACTACCACAGGACGGTAGCATCTCCCTGGGTGGTTGTTGTCTACCAACCTACTACCACAGGACGGTAGTATCTCCCTGGGTGGTTCTTGTCTACCAACCTACTACCACAGGACGGTAGTACCTCCCTTGGGGGTTGGTGTCTACCAACCTACTACCAAAGGGCGCCAGTACCTATACCTACCTGGGTAGTTGTTGTCTACCATCTTACTGCCACCGGATGGTAGTACCTCCAGGTGGCTGTTTGTCTACCAACTTACGACCACAGGACGGTAGTAACCTCCCTGGGCGTTGTTTGTCTACCAACCTACTACCACAGGAACGGTAGTACCTCCCTGGGTGGCTGTTGTCTACCAACTTACTACCACACGACGGTATACATCCCTGAATGGTTGTTTGTCTACCCAACTTACACCACAGGACGAAAACCCTCCCTGGGCCGTTGTTGTCTACCAACCCACGACCACATGATAGGTAGTACCTCCCTGGGTGGTTGTTGTCTATCAACTTACTACCCAGGAACGATAGTACCTGCCAGGGTGGTTGTCTACCAACTTACTACCACAGGACGGTAGTACTTTCCCTGGGTGGGTTTGTTTGTCTATCAACTTAGCTAACCACAGGATGGTAGTACCTCCCTGGGTGGTGTTGTCTACCAACTTTTACTACCCCACAGGACGGTAGACTTCCCGGTATGGTTGTTGTCTATATCATGACCAAGTATACAAAGGGTATTTACAGATTACAGAGGTACGTAGTGGGTCCAGGGACTGGGCTCCCAAAGTTGTGATGGCTGAACTAGGTACAAGGTAATGAACTCACAAGTTACAAAGGTAATGAATACTGTAAGAATGGTTACTTACGTTTATACATGGCTACAATCATGAACAAATTGTCTTGCAGGGTGATGGACTGAATTAATATCGTCTTTACATCTCTACTGTTTCTGTTGCTCTGTATTTGAGTGAAGAAGCCTATTGTGTAAGCAGAGCCCCTCACCGCAGCCGCCCCAGACCCCACTCTGTTGACTACTCTTCTGTGTTCCATTTGGTCAGGAAATTAGAACACAAAGATATAGTCAACAGAGCAAAGCCATGAGGCTGCCACGGTAAAAAGCACGCTCCTCCGCAAAGCACAGAGGCCTACTCGCTCCCATCTTGTTCTCTCATACAAAGGGATGTTAGGAAGCACCCTCTCCAGCACAGAGTTGTCAGGAAGTAGAACAGCCTGCAGCACATAGTTTGATAAAGCACGTGAGCAGGGAGAGGACCCAGCAGCGATCATGAAGAGGCGTGGCCAGGAGCTATGACTCGACCTCTGAAACCACAAATAGGTGACGCGCACACACAAGAAAACTGTGTCAAACAAATAGACTTTTGGACCTCAAACAGGAAACTACACTAAGTAAACTATAAAATCAATAGTAAGAAAAATAAGAGAAGTTATATGGAGAATGACGTCAAAGTATCGTTCAAATCGATTGTACTTAACAGAGCAGTGAGTGGTTAGAAGGAAATTTAATATTAGCGTTAAAGTAAACTGTTAACAATTCATTTGTGAATTAAACTTAAAACACTGTTAATGATGAGTTGAGTGTGGTTCTGGTTACACTGTAGTTTTAGAAGACTCAAAAACAGGATGGCCGATGTTCAGGCCAGCTCTAGAATACTGTTAACGCCGGATTTTTTGAAGTTCTGGCCACCAAGACTTTGTCTCCCACTGCCACAGGTCCTGTCACTACTTACGAAGCGCCATGTTTTGATACCGAGAGGGGACTCGTAGCCCACGCCTTAGCCAACTTGGCTGGCTCTTTTAATGAGCGGAACGTACGGAGGGTAGTGAGTGGCTCCATCTTGGGGTGTCGTTCTCCTTTGACTGGGTCCACAGTGGTTAGCAGACATCTCTGGCATGGTTTCACCTTCCTGAAGACCACCCGCCCGATCTTCACGTAGGCCCAGTCGTCCTCGTCTAAGGGTGCAGAGCCTCTGACCACGATGTTTGCACGGAACTGGCTCATAGTGATGGGTTCCGAGAGGCGAGAGTTGAGGTCCTCTAGCGAAGACTCTGCCAATCATGTAGGCGCAGTTCTCCGCATAGTACAATGTGTCAGAGTTGCGGATCTTCGGGAAGTCGTAGTAATCAAATCTTCGGGCTGGCCTATTCTTCACCACATCTCCCGGTACAAGCAGACGAAGTATGGTCTTACAAACAGACTGATGTTGTAGTGGCCCAGACAATAGGCTTGGTTACAAGTACTGTCTGAATGTGTTATAGCCCAGACTTAGGCTTAGTTACAAGTACAGACTTGATGTGCAGTGGCAGGCTTAGGCTTGGTTACAAGTACTGACTGATGTTGTAGTGGCCAGACTTAGGCTTGGTTACAAGTACTGACTGATGTTGTAGTGGCCAGACTTAGGCTTGGTTACAAGTACTGACTGATGTTGTAGTGGCCAGGCTTAGGCTTGGTTACAAGTACTGACAGATGTATGTAGTGGCCAGGCTTAGCTTGGTTACAAGTACTGACTGATGTTGTAGTGGCCATACTTAGTCTTGGAGTTACAAGTACTGACTGATGTTGTAGTGGCCAGGCTTAGGCTGGTTACGAAGTACTGACTGATGTTGTAGAGGCCAGACTTAGTCTTGGTTACCAAGTACTGACTGATGTTGCAGTGGCCAGGCTAGGCTTGTTACAGTCTGACATATGTTGTATGGCCAGGCTTCGCTTGGTACAAGTACTGACTGATGTTGTAGTGAGCCAGGCTAAGTCTTGGTTACAGTAACTGACTGATGGTGTAGTGCCAGCTTAGGCTTGGTTCAAGTACTGACTGATAGTGGCCAGGCTTATCTTGGTTACAAGTACTGACTGAATGTTGTATGGCCAGACTCAGGCTTTGTTACAAGTACTTACAGATGTTGTAGTGGCCAGGCTTTAGGCTTGGTTACAAGTACTATTATGACCTGATTTGTCTTGCCAAGCTTAGTCGTTGGTTACAATACTGACTGAATGTTGTAGTGGCCAACTTAGTTTAGTTACAAAGTTACTTGACTGTAGTTGAGTGGCCAGGCTTAGGCTTGGTTACAAGTACTGACTGATGTTGTAGTGGCCAGGGCTTAGGCTTGGTTAGCAAGTACAGACTGATGTTTAGTGGCCAGACTTAGGCTTATACCAAGTACTGACTGATGTTGTAGTGGCCAGGCTTAGGCTGGGTTATCAAGTACTGGACTGATGTTGTAGTGGCCAGGCTTAGGCTTGGTTACAAGTACTGACTGAGTTTTAGTGCCAGACTTAGCTTATTACAAGTACTGACTGAAGTTGTAGTGGCCGGCTTAGACTTGGTTTACAAGTACTGACTGATGTTGTAGTGGCCGGCTTTAGGCTTGGTTTACAAGTAACTGACTATGTTTTAGTGCAAGACTTAGACTTAGTTACAAGTACTGACTGATGTTGTAGTGGCCGGGCTTGGCTTGGTTACAAGTAATCTGACTGATGTTGTAGTGGCCAGGCTTAGTCTTGGTTACAGTACTGACTGATGTTGTATTGGCCAGACTTAGGCTTGGATGCAATTACTCGCTGATGTTGTAGTGCCCAACTTAGGCTTGGTTACAAGTACGGACTGTAGTTGTAGTGGCCAGACTTAGGGCTGGTTTACAAGTACTGACTGATGTTCTAGTGGCCAGACTTAGTCTTGTTTACAAGTAACTGCCTGATGTAGAGTGGCCAGACAAAGGCTTGGTTACAATTACTGACTGTATGTTGTAGTGCCCATACTTAGGCTTAGTTCAAGTACTGACCGAATGTTGTAGTGGCCAAGGCCTATTAGGCTTGGTACAAAGTACTGACTGACGTTGAAAGTGGCCAGACTTAGGCTTGGATACAAGTACTGACTGAAGGTTGTAGTGGCCAGGCTTAGTTAGGTTACCAGTACGGACTGATGTTGTAGTGGCCGACATAGGCTTGGTCTACAAATATTGTCTATGTTGTATAGCCAGACTTGGGCTTAGTTACAAGTACTGGATGATGTTGTAGTCGCCAGACTTAGGCTGTTACAAAGACTGGCTGATAGTTGTAGGGCCAGACTTAGCTTGGTTACAAGTATGAATGATGATGTAGTGGCCAGGCTTAGGCTTGGTTACAAGTACTGGCTGAATTTGTTAGTGGCCAGGCTTAGGTTTGGTTACAGGTACTGACTGATGTTAATAGTGGCCAGGCTTCGCATTGTTACAAGTACTGACTGATGTTGTAGTGGCCAGGCTTATCTTGGCTACAAGTACTGACTGATGTTGTATTGCCAGACTTAAGGCTTGGTTACAAGTACTGACTGAATGTTGTAGGTGGTCAGACTTAGGCTTAGTTACAAGTACTGATTGATGTTTTTAGTGGCCAGCATTAGGCTGGATTACAAGTACTGACTGAATTTTGTAGTGCCAGACTTAGGCTTGGTTACAAGTAGTTACTGATGTTGTAGGTGGTCCAGGGCTTAGGCTTGGTTACAAGTAATGACTATGTTGTAGTAGCCAGACTTAGGCTTGTTACAAGTAACTGACTGATGTGTAGTGGCCAGACTTAGGCTTGGTTACAATACTGGACTGAGTTGAAGTGGCCATGCTTTAGGCATGGATACAAGTACTAGACTGACGTTGTAGTGGCCAGGCTTAGGTGCTTTGTTTACAAGTACGTGACTGATGTAGTACCAGGCTTGGGCATGGTTACAGAGTACTGACTGAATGTTGTAGTGGCCAGGCTTATAGGCTTTGGTTACAAGTATGACTGATGTTGTAGTGGCCAGACTAAGCTTGGTTTACAAGTACTGACGATGTTGTATGGCCAGACTTCGAATTGGTTACAAGTATGAACTGATATTTAGTGGCCAAGCTTAGGCTTGGTTACAAGTACTGACTGGATGTTGTAGTGGCCAGACTTAGGCTTGTTACAAGTACTGACTGATTGTTGTAGTGGGCAGGCTTAGGCTTGGTTACAATACTACTGATGTGTAGTGGGCAGGCTTTAGGCTTGGTTACAAGAACTGACTGATGTAGTGACCAGGCTTGTGGGCTTGGGTTACAAGGAACTAATGATGTATTGTAGTGGTCCAGACTTAGCTTGGTTACAAGTACTGACGATTTTGTAGTGGCCAGACCCTTAGCTTGGTATTCAAAGTACTGACTGATGTAGTAGTGCCGACTTCGAATTGGTTACAAGTACTGACTGATGTTTGTAGTGGCCCAGGCCTTAGGCTTGGTTACAAGTACTGGACTGATGTTGAATTGGGCAGGCTTAGGCTGGTAGCAACGTACTGACTGATGCAGTGACCAGCTTGGGCTTGGTTACAAGTACAGACAGATGTTGTAGTGGCCAGACTTAGGCTTGGTTACAAGTAACTGACTGATGTTGTAGTGGCCAGACTTAGGCTTGGTTTCATACTACTGGCTGATGTTGTAGTGGCCAGACATTCGAATTGGTTACAAGTAACTGACTGATTTGTAGTGGCCCAGATTAGGCTTGGTTACAAGTACTGACTGATGTTGTATTGGCCAACTTAGGCTTGGTTAATAAGTACCTTGACTGATGTTTGTAGTGGCCAGGCTTTTTGCTTGGTTACAATACTGACTGATATGTATTGGCCAGGCTAGGTTATGGTTACAAGTACTACTGAATTTGTTGAGAAAATTTGTGTAGGACTGCTCCAATGAGTCACCTACCCTGGCAAACTCGTTGACACCGAGCTCTGAGGTGGGTACCTCAGCCTCACAAGTGGCTATAGAGACAGATTTTCACAAATGATTGATGTTGCAAAGAAACTCGTCTGCTGCACGTATAAAGGACTAACTTACTTGGTGTAGCAGCATATTCCTGAACTTTAACTTCCCAAAGCTAAGCCTTAGCCCCTTTGGACTTCCCCTTCTAGAAAACCACGTGCAACCAGGGCCTTATTCCTGCAATATTCAATCGTATTAGTGACCTGCTGCACCTCAGAAATCCTATATCCAAGGGGTGAGTATCCCCAATAACCACTAATGCAGACACGGACACTAGCTTCAACATAGACAAGAGACACTGGTACATACTTGGGCATGCACTGCCACTGCAACACAGCCCCAGATCAAACAAAAAAACTCACTCACAATCTCCCCAGACACTGGCCAGAATTTTTTACGAGATAAAGTGGAGGTCTTGTCATACGTAATGGGTCTGCGGAGGAGGTGCATCTATGTACATCGAGGATGCCTCTAACCAGATTTCTCAGGTCTCAAATTTAAGGGACACTGGGGGGGGGTCGCCATCTGCTGATCACGGCACTCCTTGTCCAGTTTGGTGTCTGTCTTAAGAAGGACCTATGGTGTCTTTGAGACCCGCGCCTCGTCATTCAAGCTACGGCTGACAGTTCACCCTATCTAACTTAACCTAGTGTTTGCCTACACTATCGGCCTTTACTAACTATGTTTAAGGTCTTACGTCTACATTATTATATCTAGCAGTTGCCCTCAATGATCCTAATATAGCGTACTACCAAGTAAAAACTACCTAGCTCCTTCCCTAAAGGGTAAATCTATAACTAAATAGACCATCATCCACGCCAACTCCGGGAGAGAGAAATGTGTTTATGTTCGGGGAGAACGCTTTTTTGTTTGGGTGGTTTAAGGCCCCCATCTCACTAGCCGTTCCATTACGGCCTTGCGGGATCCCTTGGTTCGCCGAGTCTGTCCTGGGAACTTTAGGGACCAATAAAATTCCACAGTTTTGTAGTGGCCAACTTTAGGCCTTGGTTACAAGTACTGCGATGTTGTAGTGGCCAGGCTTCGGCTTGGTTACAGTAACTGAACTGATGTTTGTAGTGGCCAGGCTTAGCTTGGTTAAAGTACTGACTGATTTGTAGTGGCCAGGCTTAGGCTTGGTTACAAGTACTGTACTGATGTTGTAGTGGCCAACTTAGGCTTGTTACAAGTACTGACTGATGTTTGTAATGGCCAGGCTTAGCTTGTTTCCAGGTACACTGACGATGATGTAAGTGGCCAGGCTTTAGGCTTGGTATAAGTACATCTGGCAGACGACAACACACTGTGATGATCAGACGTGAATGTACAACATTGTGACCAACCATATGGTCCCACTATACCTGAGTTTACCTGGAGAGATTCCGGGTCAACGCCCCCCGCCCGGTCTTGGACCAGCCTCCTGTGGATCCAGAGCCTGATCAACCATGCTGTTACTGCGGCTGCATCAAACCAACGTACGACACAGCCCGGCGATCGAACCGACCTTTTGGTGCTTGTCCAGTGCCAGCTTGAAGACTGCAGGGGTCTGTTGGTAAACACCCCTTATGATTGCTGGGAGGCAGTTGAACATCTGGGGCCCCTACACTTATGTATGGTCTCTTAACGGCTAGTGACACCCCTGGCTTTTCATTGGTGGATGTTCATCGTCTTGCCAAGTCATTTGCCTTTCGAAGTGAGTGGATTTACTTGTGCAGGTTCGGTACTAAGTCCCCTAGATTTTCAGGTGTATATAATCATGTATCTCTCCCGCCTGCGTTCCAGGAATACAGGTTCAGGAGCCTCAAGCGCTCCCATAATCGAGGTGTTTATCTCCTTATGCGCGCGTGAAGGTTTCTCTACATTTTCTAGGTCACAATTTCACTGCCTTGAAAGGTGCTGTTAGTGAGTAGTGCAGCAATATTCCAGCCTAGATAGAAACAAGTGACCTGAAGGAGTGACATTCATGGGCTTGGCAATCCCCCCGTTTTGAAGGTTCTCATTAATCCATCCAGTCATTTTTTCAGCAAGATGCGAATCGATCAATGTTATGGTCCTTGAAGGTGAGATCCTCCGACATGATCACTCCCAGGTCTTTGACGTGGTGTTTCGCTCTATTGTGTGGCCAGAATTTGTTTTGTACTCTGATGAAGATTTAATTTCCTCATGTTTTTACCATATCTGAGTAATTGAAATTTCTCAACGTTGAACTTCATCTTGTTTTCTGCAGCCCACTGAAAGATTTGGTTGATGTCCGCCTGGAGTCTTGCAGTGTCTCAATGGAAGACACTGTCATGCAGATTCGGTGTCATCCTGCAAAGGAAACAGGTGGCTGTGGCTGACATCCTTGTCTATGTCGGATATGAGGATGAAAACCATAGGGACGAGTACTGTGCCTTGTGGAACAGAGACTTTTCACAGTAGCTTGCTTCGGACATTACTCAGTTAGAACGACTACTCTCTTTGGTTCGTATAGTGAGGAAAATTAAAGATCCATCGACCGACTTTTCCTTTTATATCCTTTAGCACGCCATTTTTGTGCGCTATTACGCCCATGGTCACACTTGGCGAAGGCTTTTGCAAAGTCTGTAATATATTACATCTGCATTCTTTTTGTCTTCTAGTGCATTTAGGACCTTGTCGTAGTGATCCAATAGTTGAGACAGACAGGAGCGACCTGTTCTAAACCCATGTTGCCCTGGGTTGTGTAACTGATGTGTTTCTAGATGGGTGGTGAACTGCTTCTATGGACCTCTTGTCCAAGATTTTTTATGATGTGTGATGTTAGTGCTATTGGTCTGTAGTTCTTTGCTGTTGCTTTACTGAACACTACGTGCTTAATTGTCCACTTGTTGAGGAATACAGAGATAGACAGTATTCACCTATTTGTACTCACCTATTTGCGGTTGCAGGGGTCGAGTCTTAGCTCCTGGCCCCGCCTCTTCACCGGTTGCCTACTGGCCGTCTCTCTCCCTGCACCAAGAGCTTTTATCAAAAACCTCGTCTAAAACTATGTATGGTTCCTGCCTCCACTACATCACTTTCTAGGCTATTCCACTGCCTAACAACTCTGTGATTGAAGAAATACTTCCTAAAATCTCTCTGGCTAATCTCTGTCTTCAACTTCCAATTGTGACCTCTTGTTTCTGTGTCCCCTCCCTGGAACATCCTGTCTTTGTCCACCTTGTCTATTCCGCGCAGTAATTTATATGCGTTATCATGTCTCCCCTGACCCTCCTGTCCACAGTGTCGTCCAGGCCGATTTCCCTTAACCTATCTTCAAAGCCATTTCCCCTTAAGCTCTGGAACTACCTGTCGCAACCTTTGCACATTCTCTAGTTTCTTGACGTGCTCTATCAAGTGCGGGTTCCAAACAGGTGCTGCATACTCCAGTATGGGCCTGACGTACACGGTGTACAGTGACATGTCAAAATATCTTGTTAATGAAAATAAGATACCAAATATACTAAGCAAATTTCCTAAATTTGCTTGTAACAGATAAGTGAACTGTAGATATGTAGATATAAACCCATATGTACACCTGTTAACTTTTTTTGGGCCTAGTTCCTGGGCCTTTTGTGTATGCTTATGTTCTTGCGCTACCGTCCACAGGATGGATATGAGGTACACAAAAAACTAGCCACTTCGGTGGCATAATCTAAAAATCTAATCTTATTCAGGTATACACAAATACAGTTATATAGATTATAATATATAGCAACATGTGTAGAGAACCCAGGATAAACCCAAAAAAGCTAGACGGAGTGACTTGGGTTCTTGTACCTGGAGTTTACCTGGAGAGAGTTCCGGGGGTCAACGCCCCCGCGGCCCGGTCTGTGACCAGGCCACTGTTGATCAGAGCTGATCAACCAGCTGTTACGCTGAGGCTGCATCTAAACGCAGAACCACGTACGAGCCACAGCCCGCTGGTCAGAAACCGACTTTAGGGTGCTTGTCCAGTGCCAGCTTGAAGACTGCCAGGGGTCTGTTGGTAATCCCCCTTATGTATGCTGGGAGGCAGTTGAACAGTCTCCGGGCCCCTGACACTTATTGTATGGTCTCTTAACGTGCTAGTACACCCCAGCTTTTCATTGGGGGGATGTTGCATCGTCTGCAAGTCTTTTGCTTTCGTAGAGAGTGATTTTCGTGTGCAAGTTCGGTACTATAATCTAGGATTTTCCGGTGTATAAATCATGTAATCTTTCCCCCGCCTGCGTTCCAGGAATACAGGTTCAGGAACTCAAGCGCTCCCAGTAATTGAGGTGTTTTATCTCCGTTATGCGCGCCGTGAAGGTTCTCTGTACATTTTCTAGGTCACAATTTCACCTGCCTTGAAAGGTGCTGTTAGTGTGGCAGCAATATACCAGCCTAGAAAGAACCAATGAACCTGAAGAGTGTCATCATGGCTTGGCAATCCCCTCTTTTGAAGGTTCTCATTATCCATCCTGTCCAATTTTTCTAGCAGATGCGATCGATACAATGTTTATGGTCCTTGAAGGTGAATCCCTCCGACAAGATCACACCCAGTCTTTGCCGATGGTGTTTCGCTCTATTTAGAGGGCAGAATATGTTTTGTCACTCTGATGAAGATTTAAATTTCCTCATGTTTTAACCATATCTGAGTAATGAAATTTCTCATCAATGAACTCATATTGTTTTCTGCAGCCCACTGAAAGATTTGGTTGAAGTCCGCCTGGAAACCTGCAGTGTCCTTGCAATGAAGACACGTCAAGCAGATTCGGTGTCCACTGCAAAGGAAGACACGTGCTGTGCTGACATCCTTGTCTATGCGGATATGAGGAATGAGGAACAAGATGGAGCGAGTACTGTGCCATGTGGAACAGAGCTTTTCACCGTAGCTGCCTCGGACTTTAACTCTGTTGACGACTACTCTCTGGTTCTGTTTAGTGAGGAAATTATAGATCCATCAACCGACTTTTCCTGATATTCCTTTAGCACTCATTTTGTGGCGCTATAACGCCATGGTCACATCTTGTCCGAAGGCTTTTTGCAAAGTCTGTATATATTACATCTGCCATTCTTTTGTCTTCTAGTGCATCTAGGACCTGTCGTAGTGATTCCAATAGTTGAAACAGACAGGAGCGACCTGTTCTAAACCTTGTTGCCCTGGTTGTGTACTGATGTTCTAGATGGGTGGTGATCTTGCTTCTTAGGACATCATTCAAAGATTTTTATTTATGATGTGGGATGTAAGTGCTATCGTCTGTATTCTTTGCTGTTGCTTTACGATGCCCCCTTTGGGTGAGAGTGGGGCTAATGTCTTGTTGTTTTTAGTAACTGAGGACGACCACCCGTGTCCATGCTCCTCTCCATAGGTGGTAAAAGGCTTCGTGATAGGGGCTTCTTGCAGTTCTTGATGAACACGGAGTTCCATGAGCCTGGCCTGGGGCAGATGCATGGGCATGTCATTTATCGCCTGTTCGAAGTCATTTGGCGTCAGATAACATCAGACAGCTGTGTTAAACCAATTCTGTGGCTCTCTCATAAAAAAAATTCATTTTGACTCGACTCTCAGATCTGGTTAGAGGCTGCTAAAAACTGAGTCCCATATTGGGACTTCAGTAGCTCACCATTTCCCTTGCTGTCATCTGTGTTGGACCATCTTCTTTAAGAAGAGCCCAAAACTGGACTTGTCTCGACTTTGATTTGGCAGTGGAAGAAGAAATACTTGGGTTCTTTCGATTTCAATTTATGGCTTTTTAGTTCTTCCCGCGATTCCTGATCTCCTATAAGATCCTTAGCTTAAGTTCGATGTTTGCTATTTCTCTGACCAGTGTCTCCCTACGCATTTCAGATAGATTGACCTCTTTTAGCCTCACTGTTATTCTTTTTCCGTCGCCTGTAAGAGAGCGCCGTCTCTTTCTTTCTATTTTACATCTACTCCTCCTTTTTCTAGAGGAAATAAGTCTTGGTGCCATACCATCGAGTGCCACCAAATTAATCAGTTCTAGGCATAAGTTGGGGTCTGGTTGCTTAGTATATCTGCCCAGCTTATATCGGTTAGGACTTGGTTACTTGGTCCCCTTTATTGTTTTTGTTATTGAAGTTGAATTTGGGAATGCTCCCTCGTGACTAATCTCATTTTTGTCGTCTGGGGCTCTGCGCATACATGTCTGAACCTCGATTATGTTGTGATCTGAGTATACTGTTTTTGATATGGTGACATTTCTTAATAGATCATCATTGTTAGTGAAGATGTGGTTAGTGTATTCTCCATTCTAGTTTACCGGGGAGTTTACCTGGAGAGAGTTCCGGGGGTCAACGCCCCGCGGCCCGGTCTGTGACAGGCCCCCTGGTGGATCAGAGCCTGATAAACCAGGCTGTTGCTGCTGGCTGCACACAAACCAAACATACGAGCCACAGCCCGGCTGGTCAGGAACCGACTTTAGGTGCTTGTTCAGTGCCAGCTTGAGACTGCCAGGGGTCTGTTGGTAATCCCCCTTATGTATGCTGGGAGGCAGTTGAACAGTCTCGGGCCCCTGACACTTATTGCATGGTCTCTTAACGCGCTAGTGACACCCCGGCTTTTCATTGGGGGGATGTTGCATCGTCTGCCAAGTCTTTTGCTTTCGTAGTGAGTGATTTTATGTGCAAGTCGGTACTAGTCCCTCTAGGATTTTCCAGGTGTATATAATCTTTGTATCTCTCCCGCCTGCGTTCCAGGGAATACAGGTTCAGGAACCTCAAGCGCTCCCAGTAATTGAGGTGTTTTATCTTTATGCGTGCCGTGAAGGTTCTCTGTACATTTTCTAGGTCAGCAATTTCACCTGCCTTGAAAGGTGCTGTTAGTGTGCAGCAATATTCCAGCCTAGATAGAACAAGTGACCTGAAGAGTGTCATCATGGGCTTGGCCTCCCAAGTTTTGAAGGTTCTCATTATCCATCCTGTCATTTTTCTAGCAGATGCGATTGATACAATGTTATGGTCCTTGAAGGTGAGATCCTCCGACATGATCACTAGTAGGCTCTATTATTTGCTAGTTTAAATTGAATTTTGTGCAGAGATTTAAAAGCTCGTGTGAGTGTGAGTTTTCATCAGAGCTGCCTCCTGGTGTTATTACTGCAACAATAATATTTGCTATATTCCTCCATTTTAGGTGCCTTAAGTTGAAATCCCCCAGGAGCAAGATGTTGGGTGCAGGAGCTGGAAGATTTTCCAGACAGTGGTCAATTTTTAACAGCTGTTCCTGGAATTGCTGGGATGTTGCATCCGGAGGCTTGTAGACTACCACAATGACTAGGTTTTGGTTCTCGACCTTTACTGCTAAAACTTCCACTACATCATTTGAGGCATTAAGCAGTTCTGTGCAAACAAGTGACTCTGTATTACAGTTATTTTGCCTGAAATGCATTACATACTAGTGGCTTTCGTCTGTGTCTAACAATATTTTATTGCATGCAGACTACTTTACTTTGTACTGCATAAAGATAAAAAAAAAATGTAAATTTGTATAAATTACTTTATAGAAAGTTCCTGGTTATGCAGAGTATTTCCATCAACCTTAAAACTAACTTATAACTACTGAACAATTGTTTAACTAGGTTATATACTAGAATGTTAGAGTTTATAATCTTTGACATTTTATATTACAATTTCTATAGTAAATAAAAAAAAATATATGTATATATTATTCATCCTGAGATTATCGATTTTCATCTGTTGGGTATTATTAATAAATCATTGTAATTATTAAAGTATTTATTCTTGTGTTATTATTAATTATTGATATATTTATTGGTATATTAATAATGTAGACGATACGTCAGCTATGGTCACATCCGGTACCTCACCCAGAAGCACCAACATAAAATATGACATATTGTCTCTCTATTGTATTGCATTGTATTGTTTGATGGCTTGCGTTGATTTTATTATATACAAAGCTAGAGGCTTATTTATGCAATCTTGGGGCATGTGTAATATTAATTATTCGCACAATACAATTGCGTGTACCTTAAATATTGCGAAATGTCTGAGCGATTTCTATAATTCAATATTAACTTTATGCTAGCCGCCGAAAGGCTATATTTAATAACGGAAAATTGAGTATAGATAGTTTAGACCTTAAACATCACGATAAAGGTACTTTATGGTCTCCTGATGTATGATAAGACGAGAGAGAAGAGTTATATGAGGGAGGGTGAGGTGTAGTAAGCGAGGTAAGGTTGGTAGGTGTGGTTGGTGGTGTCAGCTGTGTTTGTAAATACTGTGACTGAGGATCCTGGCGACCACCCACCTCCAATATTTCTCCTCCTATTTCCCTACCCTTCAGTTTTTATAACTCCAACAACAAAGAGGATGTATGTATACGTGAAATTCTATACACTTTTGTAATATTATTGCCAGGAAGTGATTGAAAGTGTCCCGATAAAAGGTTTGTGTGGGAGGATGGTTAGGTGGCCAGAGAAATTTTCTAGTTTTTGTCCACTTTTATAAGGGAATGGAAATATATTTTGCTTGTCTTTTCATTCAAGAGTGTAATAAACTTTTGTTACTAATTAGCCCATGTTAGTAATAACTTGTAGAGAATGTAAGTAAATAAAAATCAAATCACCGTCAGTATTTTTCTTTCGAGGTCACTTTTAATATCACACAAAAAAAAATTAAGCTTAATCAGCATAACAAACTGTTAATTTACCCCCACCAAAAAAAAAAAAAGCCTAATCATGGAAATAACTGTTATGATGCTCAGTCTTTATTTTCACAGTTGAGTTACTGAGCTATTTTAACTTTTGAGGTTTAAATAATAAGATATTAAAAGGACCACAATGGGAATAAGTCACTTTGACTTTTTTTTTTTTGGGGGGGGGGGTTATCCAGGCAAATTACACTATGGTAATTGTACTCGTGTGTACCTGTTCCTAAATAAACTTAAACGATGATGGTGCTTGTCAAAATTACTTTGTATCTCAGTGGTACAAAATACCAAAGATGGAGCCATTATTAATAGTTTTTTAGTTGTCTGCAAGTGACGTGATGTGCTTCAAATATAGTTTGTGTTAGCTGTGTTTCACTTGTGTAATACTTACCTTTGACTGGTTACAAGACCTGTCCTTGCATCCTGGCCATGTACATGCTTCTTATTACTTTCAACCATCAGTTTACCTGGAGAGAGTTCCGGGGGTCAACGCCCCCCGGCCCGGTCTGTGACCAGGCCTCCTACAAATATTTAAAATATAATTTACAGAGCAATACATCGTTGCATCTTAAACAATTGTGACAGTGATGATAATGATTATTTTAACTAAAAATATTTAATACAGTGCTGGAATTAAAAAAAAATTATTTTAAAGAAAGACATTTGTTATGCAAAACATTCCAGGCAGACTTGAAAATGATGTTAAAAAATAGGAAAGAAATTCACTAAAGTACTCTACTGCACACTTAATATAGTAATATACACACAATTTACAGATATACTACAATAAATATTGAAAATAAAGGAGCTAAAATTACAAAAATTTAACAAGTGAATTTTGCTCAGAATTTTAAAAGCTCATTATTTAGGTAAAGATTATGTCATGTAATTTTTGTGTGACAATAGTTTCTGTACGTATTAAAGTGTTTTTGGGTTATCCTAGGTAATTTACACTATGTATCAAAATTGTACTTATGTGTACCTGTACCTAAATAAACTTACTTGGTAAGCTAGCAACTTAAGATGCAGTACCATTGACATAAATGTTTATGATTATTGCACGAAATACCACATCGCATTCAAGAAATAACTCTTGGCAATTTTTTAAGCAATTGGTGTTTTGTTTTTTCTTTTATCCTTCAGATAGGTTGTTTCAAATTTTGGGTCCTTTGAGTTACATGGAGTGTTTACTCACGTTGTCATGAATGTAAATATCAGTTTACCTGGAGAGAGTTCTGAGGGTCAACGCCCCCGCGGCCCGGTCTGTGACCTGGCCGCCTGGCGGATCAGAGCCTGATCAACCAGGCTGTTACTGCTGGCTGCATGCAATCCAATGTACGAGCCACAGCCCGGCTGATCAGGTACCGACTTTAGGTGCTCGTCCAGTGCCTGCTTGAAGACAGCCAGGGGTCTATTGGTAATCCCCCTAAGTGAGATTTTTTTTTTTTTCCCTAGTGTTATGCCTTCATTATCTAAATTCAAAATTTAATTTTAATTAACAAAATTCTGTTTTGAACTTAATCATTCATTTTTTTTCCCCCAGATAAACACAATGGCAGATGGAGGTTTTGATCCCTTGTGAGTGCATCTGGAGCCATGAGATGGCCATGAGGAGGCTCCTGTCACTTGTAAGTTCCCCACCTCCCCTTTTTTTTATATAGGTATGAACAGTTGCAATATTCATTTAAACTATTCTAGTGCAGTACACATTGAACATACCACAAGCTTCTTATGTAACTTTGTTTTTTTACCTGCGGTACAATTCTTCGCAATAATACAATGATTATTTTCCAAGATTTATTAGAATTGCAAAATTAGGTTTACAGTTTTTATTTCCTGTATGAAAAAAATACATGCAATGCATGTCACAAGAATTATTTAATAATTCTGTTATTTATGTTCTGTGCCATCAGTTCTTAAGTACTAATGCAAGACTGTGAGCAGCAGCACCAGCACTAGTAGCACTGGTGTTTTGTTACTCATTTCAGCCTAAATAGCTTTGCCAGGTCCTACTTCTGAGATGGCCAAACTGTAAGACATCCAGCAAGGAAGAGCTGCAAGTAGGAGTTGGCGTGAAGAGCACCATAGTCGTGGAGATTCTAGACCGTAGGGAAGGAGGCTGGCGCTTATATACTAATACCAGGTGGAAAGGGATGTGTAAGAGACGAAGGCATAGTCACTGGCAGGCGGGATTCCCCAGTGGAAGTAAGTCATACCCAAAGAGATGGGTTAGTTGTAGTAGTAGTTGTAGCCATGAAATAGGTTATGTATATGTCCTCAGAATCAAGATTCCATGATGTTGCAGCATCTGACAGGTTTTACAAGAATGGTATACAATACCGACAAGATGAAAATAATTTCATCTTGTCGGTATTGTATACCATTCTTGTACAACCTGTCAGACACTGCAGCATCATGGAATCTTGATTCTGAGGACATGTACATAACCTACTTCATGGCTACAACTACTACTACAACTAACCCATCTCTTTGGGTATGACTTACTTCCACTAGGGAATCCCGCCTGCCAGTGACTATGCCCTCGTCTGCTACACATCCTTTTCCACCTGGTGTTAGTATATAAGCGCCAGCCTCCTTCCCTACGGTCCAGATCTCCACGACTACGGTGCTCTTCATGCCAACTCAGAGGCTGAGGGACTGATTACCTCATCTTTTGTATATAGTTCTCTTTAAATGATGTCCTAGAATTTGTATTGATAAAGCCACTGGATGGCAAAACATCTACAATAAAGATACCCAGGTGTTGCACATGTCTTAATTTCTTCTTTTGTCTTGTTTTAAAGCAGAAAATGTTGACTACTATAGATGGAAAGTTTATACTTGTACTTTGTTGTCTATTATTTAAGATCCATCTATGAAATTGTTTATAGCAAAGGATATATTAATATGACTAGGAAAAACAACTTGATTGAAGATGACTTTCTTGTGTGGTTAAGTATCTGTTTCAGTCAACACAGTGTTAACATCTTGGCCAGTTCTCATTGCTGACGTTGTTTCGTGTGATTTACCATATGGTTAGTCTAATGGTTACTTTTTTCAGTTGATAAGATAGGTATTCAAGAGTTGTAGCTGCACACAGGCAGTGCAGTACCATCTTAATATTTTTTTTTTTTTTTAACAAGTCAGCCATCTCCCACCGAGGCAGGGTGACCCAAAAAGAAAGAAAATCCCCAAAAAGAAAATACTTTCATCATCGTTCAACTCTTTCACCTCACTCACACATAATCAGTTTTTGTAGAGGTGCTCAAAACACAACAGCTTAGAAGCATATACATATAAAGATACACAACATATCCCTCCAAACTGCCAATGTCCTGAACCCCTCCTTTAGAGTGCAGGCATTCTACTTCCCATTTCCAGGACTCAAGTCCGGCTATATAAAAATAACTGGTTTCCCTGAATCCCTTCACTAAATATTACCCTGCTCACACTCCAACAGATCGTCAGGTCCCAAATACCATTCGTCTCCATTCACTCCTATCGAACACGCTCATGCACACCTGCTGGAAGTCCAAGCCCCTTGCCCACAAAACCTCCCTTACCCCTTCCTTCCAACCTTTTTGAGGATGACCCCTTCCCCGCCTTCCTTCCCCTACAGATTTAAATGCTGTCCATGATATTCTACTTTGATCCATTCTCTCTAAATGACCAACCCCCTCAACAACCCCTCTTCAGCCTCTGACTAATACTTTTATTAAATTCCACACCTTCTCCTAATTTCCCACACTCCGAATTTTCTGCATAATATTTACACCACACATTGCCCTTAGACAGGACATCTCCACTGCCTCCAACTGCCTCCTCGCTGCTGCATTCACAACCCAAGCTTCACACCCATATAAGAGTGTTGGTACTATTGTACTTTCATACATTCCCTTCTTTGCCTCCATAGATAACTTTTTTTGTCTCCACATATACCTCAATGCACCACTCACCTTTTTTCCCTCATCAATTCTGTGATTAACCTCATTCTTCATAAATCCATCCGCCAACACGTCAACTCCCGAGTATCTGAAAACATTCACTTCTTCCATAGTCCTCCCTAATTTGATATCCAATTTTTCTTTATCTAAATCATTTGATACCCTCATCACCTGCCTTGTTATTATAATAATAATATGTGCTCCTATACTAGTTAAAAAACTACAACATGACCACCCCCTCCTTCAAAGTACACGCATTGCACTTCCCAGCTCCAGGACTCGAGTCCGGCTTGCTGGTTTCCCTGAATTCCTTCATAAATGTTACCTTGACTACACACAATGACAAGGATGTGTACTCTGTGTGTATTCGACTGTGTGTGGTCGGAGGAGTCAGTTTACAGTTCCTGGTTCTGCCTCTTTCCTGGTTGCAACTAGGTTCACTCCTGGCTTTGAGAACATTATCATACCTAGTCCTAAACCAAAGTTTGCATCCTGCCTCTACCACTTTGCTCTCCAGGTAGTTTCACTTCCTGACAATTTTAAGGCTGAAGAAATACTTCCTAACATCCATAAGACTCGTCTGAGTGTTCAACTTCCTGCAGTGCCCTCATTTTCCTGTTTCCCATCCCATGTGTGAGCACTCGCCTAATTGTGGTTGCAGGGGTTGATTCACAGCTCCTGGCTCTGCATCTTCACTGGTTGCTACTCGGTCACTCTCCCTGCTCCATGATCTTTATCATATCTCTTTTTAAAGCTATGTATAGATCCTGCCTCCCCTGCATCACTTTCCAGATTGTTCAACTTTATGACTGAAGAAATACTTCCTAACATCCCTGTGACTCATTTGAGTCTTCAACTTCCAAGTGTGACCCCTTGTTGCTGTGTCCCATCTCTGGAACATCCTGTCTGTCCACCTCGTTGATTCCTGTCAGTATTGTATATACCATTATAGCCCCCATCTCTCCTGTCCTCCAGTCTCGTGTGGGCATGCATGTGTGTAAGTTAATGTATGCAATACATTAATTCCTTCATTTTGCACTTGTCAGCTTCGACAGTCACAGAGCTACTGCACAGACACCGAGTGCTACAATGAATGTGAGTACCATATACTGTAATTTGTTTGAAGTAGCAACTAAAGCCAGTACAGTTTCTGTAAGAAGAAACAAGACAAGTTCCAGTAGGAGGTACCTGATCAGCCAGGCTGTGATGGTTATGTTGGCTTGTGGGCTTATGGAAAGTGGTTACAGTTCAGGCTATGAGACAGCAAATTAAGTTAACATGTGTATTGTAAGTAAACTTAATATAAAATTAAATTTATATTCATGTCATTTCAGTCAAAACTTTTGTCTGTAGAATTAAAAATTCTTAATGAATTATTTGGAAATTCTTATTAGAAATATTAATTTAAGATGAATGACAACCTTCTACCTGATTATCTTATTGTATTATTTTATATTAAATTAATCTAAACTTTCCACAGTCATGAAGGTCAACTTTGTTATCCTCCTTGTGAACCTCTATCACCATTTGTCTTTGTCCCTTAGTACACACACAAATAATTTTAGTCATTAGCTAAATCCCTGTGGGTCTTAAGCATAATATACCAGAGTTCAGCTAGGTTATGATAATAGGTATAAAATATATATATATACAGTGGACCCCCGGTTAACGAACTTTTTTCATTCCAGTAGTATGTTCAGGTGCCAGTACTGACCGAATTTTTTCCCATAAGGAATATTGTGAAGTAGATTAGTCCATTTCAGACCCCCAAACATACACGTACAAACGCACTTACATAAATACTTACATAATTGGTCGCATTTGGAGGTGATCGTTAAGCGGGGGTCCACTGTATACATAAATCACTTTAATTTGAAAACCTGAAATATATTAAAAAAAACTCTCCAGTGACAACAAAAGTATATTATTATTATTATTATTATTATTATTATTATTATTATAATAATAATATTCCCCCCCCCAACGTCGGACATCTCCCGCCGAGGCAGGGTGACTCAAAAAGAAAGAAAATACTTTCATCATCATTCAACACTTTCACCTCACTCGCACATAATCACTGTTTTTGCAGAGGTTCCCAGAATACAACAGCTTAGAAGTATATACATATAAAAATACACAATATGTATATCCCTCCAAACTGCCAATATCCCAAACCCCTCCTTTAGAGTGCAGGCAATGTACTTCCCATTTCCAGGACTCGAGTCCGGTTATATAAAATAACCAGTTTCCCTGAATCCCTTCACTAAATATTACCCTGCTCACACTCCAACAGTTTGTGTACTAATTTAGGAATGAACACTGCTGATAATATATGTGGTCCTTAGCTAAAAAGAAAAAGAAACAATATTATATAGGCAATAAAACACAGCTGCCTCAAAAAAAGACATGTAGATGGCCCTCACAATAGGTAAACTAGTGAAGCATGTATACATGACACACAAAATAAATACACATACGTACAAATTATTTAATGAAATTAAATTTGTGTATGGTAAATACATAAATGCTTTGGGGTATTTAAATTAATCATTAAACTTTGACAATTACAGTGGACCCCCGCATAACGATGGCATCACATAGCGATTATTTCGCATACCGCTTACTTTAATTGCAAAAATTTTGCCTCACATACCGCTTAAAAACCCGCTTACCGATTTTCGTCCGAGACGCGTCCAATGTGCGGCCTGAGCCACGCTCACATGTTCCGCCGGTGGCATTGTTTACCAGCCAGCCTCCGCGGTAACATCCAAGCATACAATCGGAATATTTCGTATTATTACAGTGTTTTCGGTGCTTTTTCTGGAAAATAAGTGACCATGGGCCCCAAGAAAGCTTCTAGTGCCAACCCTACAGCAATAAGGGTGAGAATTACAATAGAGATGAAGAAAAAGATGATTGATAAGTATGAAAGTGGAGTGCATGTCTCGAGCTGGCCAGGTTGTATAATAAACCCCAATCAACCATCGCTACTATTGGTGGTACAGTGCTGCTGCTGCTGCTGCACTGTCAGCTGCTGCTGCTGCTGCACTGTCAGCTGCTGCTGCTGCTGTAGCACCGTTGTTGGTGTGGCTTATTGAGAATACCAAGAAACAATTAACCCCAGAGGATTTGCCACCCAGGATAACCCAAAAAAGTCAGTGTCATCGAAGACTGTCTAACTTATTTCCATTGGGGTCCTTAATCTTGTCTCCCAGGATGCAACCCACACAAGTCGACTAACACCCAGGTGAACAGGGAGAAAAATGCCTGGAACTAGTGCTCATATTGGTGAATTTAAAGCCAGCAAAGGTTGGTTTGAGAGATTTAAGAATCGTAGTGGCATACACAGTGTGATAAGGCCTGTTCTGGAAGAAAATGCCAAACAGGACTACAGTACTCAGGAGGAAAAGGCACTCCCAGGACACAGTGTCTCATCAGTCATTGCTGCATCTTCAATAAAGGTAAGTGTCATTTTATTCTTCATTGTAGTAGACTAGTACATGCACAATATATACTGTGCATGTACTACTCTACTATTGTGCATGTATCCTTCTCTTTGTGTGTGGGAAAATGTATATTTCATGTGGTAAAATTTTTTTTTTCATACTTTTGGGTGTCTTGCACGGATTAATTTGATTTCCATTATTTCTTATGGGGAAAATTCATTCACATAGCGATTATTTCGCATAACAATTACCCCTCTTGCATGGATTAAAATCGTTAACCGGGGGTCCACTGTAATGCCTTATTAAATAGTAAATTAATGACTTTGTATGTAGCCAAGAAACATTAATTAACTGAGGGTAACCTCACACCTGTTAGCATACCACAGATAAAATAAGAAATGAGGTTAGAGTAGGCACTAACAAGTATCTTCCACTTAGCAGTAATTTGGTTAAACCTTTATGGAATTAATTGATCAAAAACAAGATTAACCCTTTCAGGGTCGAGAGGCCCTCTCCTAAACTTGTTCTCAAGGTCGAAAATTTTTCGAAAAAAAAAAAATCTTATGAAAAGATAGAGAATCTTTTCCCGATCATAATGACACCAAAAGTATGAAATTTTATGGAAAACTTACGGAATTATGCTCTTGCGAAGTTAGTGGTCTCGGCAATGTTTACGCATCGGTGATTTCGCCCACTTTGAGCCCTATTTTCGGACAATTCCAGTGTACTAGTCAACAAAAACCATAACTATTTTGCTAGAGCTCCATTTTTTCTATCAAATGAGTACAAGAAACCACCCATTTACCCATTTCAACTATCCAGTAAAGTGGTCAGAAATTAGCAGTTTTGCCAATTTCACACAAATTTCAAAAGATGCTAATTTCCAAATAGGGTTCAGAACAAGACAGATATTCCTGGCACTAAAATAACATTTCCTCTGTTCATTAGTCACGTCCCCAGGCTCCTCGTACATTTCTTTTGCTTTCCACTTTGAATTTTTATTCTCACAAAAAATAGAAGATTTACTGTTATGCAGACTACTGCATTAGTGTAGAAATGGTATGAATAATATCAGCCCACTTGTGAAAGAATATTAGACTCGCCAGCTGACGTGTATTGGACGCGTGGCATGATTTGTTTACTTTAGAACATTGGCAAAAATCAAACATTTCTGCTACTTTGAGCTCATTTTCAAGGTACTTTTCATTGTGAAACCAATCAAAATCGTCTCAATTTCTGTAATATGTCTTCCATTCTATGAAATGAGACCAGGAAAACTAGAATAAAACCATAAATACCACATGAAAATACAATGCGAAGTTGCTGTTGTAAACCAAAAACACGGTCAAAGTTTTTTTTTTCTCATTACGCACTGTGTGCTGCAGGATTTTTTTTATACTGTGCACACTGACCACATAGACCCATTCTTTCATATGTAGGCCTACCAGCTTTCTCTCGCTAGATTTGAAGGCGCTAGAATTTATGCATACTAATACTTAAATAACCCTGGTGCGTAAGCCGTACTAGTAAGTCGGAAACCCTGAAAGGGTTAATAATTAATTTGAGAGTCGGCTATTTTAGAAACTCCTAGAGCATGTCCACCTACCTTGGTCTCATCACCTACTGCATGGGAAGCCAGGCACACTTGTTTTTTACCAGAGTAATACTTGGTCAGTCAATGAAAATTCAGGAAATCTCCTGAGCTGGGCATAAGCCAATCACCAAACTCTGCTCCCTTCCATACACCCAGCGGGGTAGCCCAGTGGTGAGAGGCGTGACTCTCACCACTGGGGTCCTGGGTTCGAATCCCAGATGAACTACTAGAAAAAAAATATAGAAACTGTAATACAGTGGTGAGAGGCGCGACTCTCACCGCTGGCGTTCGGGGTACGAGAACCAGACGAACTACCTGAAAAAAAAGTGTAGTGCAGTAGTAAGTGCCAGGATTCTCACCACCGGTTCCCGGTGTAGAGACACGCACAAAACTGCTGAAAAAAATATCGAAACTGTAGGCCAGTGATGAGAGGCGCGACTCTCACCACTGGTGTCCTTGGGAACGAGATGTAGACGAAATGCTCCCTTCCATATTAAGTTTCAGGAGAAGCTGTTGTATCTTTGTTGGTAAGCAACCCCTCTGCTACACTGACATTGACAAGATATTAGCCTAGTACCTGGCTTAAATTGGCAGTTTATAACATGCCAGCTTTCATATGCTAAGAGTAACTAAGATAAAACAAAAGCATATAAATTGTGTTTTTTTTTTTTTTAACACGTAGGCCATTTCTCACCAAGGCAGAGTGACCCTAAAAGAAAGAAAAAACTTTGATCATCATTCACCACTTTCACCATCACTCATACATAATCACTGTTTTTCCAGAGGCATTCAGATACAACAGTTAAGATGTCCTTCCAAACTGCCAGTATCCCAGACCCTTCCTTTAAAGTGCAGGCATTGTACTTCCCACTTCCTGGACTCGAGTCCGGCTAACTGGTTTCCCTTAATCTCTTCACACAATATTACCCTCCTCACACTCCAATAGCTCATCAAGTATAGAGTACTAAAAATAAAAAAACCTAACATTCATAATTTTATTCGTTATATAAATAGTAAATGTTGGCAAAATTATTCTTCCTATTTCGGCTCAACACCACACCAGACATTAGTTCAGGAGTTAGAGGAACAGGCAGGGTTAAAAGTCAAGTGCTCCAGTGGGTCAGGAAGTACATGATTGAAAGATGGCAGAGAGTAACAGTAAGGGATAAGGCATCAGAGTGGGAAAGAGAGTAATGAGTGATGTTGTATAAGGATCAATACCTGGACCACTACTGTTTTTAATATACATGAATGATCTACCAGAAGAGATAGTACTATGTGTCACTGTTTTTTGATGGTGTAAAGCTAATGAGGAAAATAAGAAAAAGGAAAGGAGAATGAAAACCTCCAGGAAGACCTCAACAGACTGTAGATGTGGTCAAACAAGTGGCTTCTCAAGTTTAACCTGAACAAATTCAGAGGAGGTGAGGGCAAACCATACCAGGCACTGAATACAGCATGGTAAGAGAGAAGATGCAAATATCAGTGATAAGGACTTGGGGTGACTATAACATCATGCATACTGCCAGAAATACAATACAGTGGACCCTCAGCTAATGATATTAATCCGTTCCTGAAAGCTCATCGTTAGCTGAATTAATTTTCCCCATAAGAAATAATGGAAATCAAATTAATCCGTGCAAGACACCCCAAAGTATGAAAAAAAAAAAATTTTACCACATGAAATATTAATTTTAATACACACAAACTGTGATGGGATGGGAGGAGGGGAGAGTGTGGAAGTTGTTAATGTTTAGAAGGGGAATCCTCTTCCATTAGGACTTGAGGTATCAAGTCCTTTTCCGGGGTTACTTCCCTTCTTCTTTTAATGCCACTAGGACCAGCTTGAGAGTCACTGGACCTCTGCCGCACAACAAATCTGTCTATAGAGGTCTGTACCTCCCGTTCCTTTAAGATTTGCCTAAAATGGGCCACAACATTGTCATTGTAATAGTCACCAGCATGGCTTGCAATAGCTGTTTTAGGGTGATTTTCATCCATAAAGGTTGGCAGTTCAACCCACTTTGCACACATTTCCTTAATCTTTGAAGTAGGCACAATGGATTCCACAACTGGCATAGGCATCTCAGGGTTAGCCCCAAACCCTTTAAAATCTTTCTTAATTCCCATACTAATTCTCACCCTTTTTATCACAGGGTTGGCACTAGAAGCTTTCTTGGGGCCCATGGTGACTTATTTTGCAGGTACAATCACTAAAAACGCTGTGATAATATGAAATGTTCCGATTGTATGCGTGGATGCGACCACACTGGCTGACTTGTAAACACTGGCACCCACGGGATGTTACAAAAAACACGATTCTAAAAAGCTTAGAGATCTCCAGTGAATACTAGAAAGGACTGCCCTTCTAGCATCCAGCCTGTTACTGAGTTTTCGTAACAATTAGTCAGAATCCTTGTCCAATTATCCATTAGAATTCAATAAGAATTAATAGTGCTTCAGGATT